ACTGTGACATTTATGCTAATAACTCGACATGTATATGATTCTTACATACCCAATACGATCAAAAACGTTACTAACATACCAAATGAAAGGTGATTTCCTGGTCAAACTTGCAAAAGTTTGTCCAAATTCGCACTTGAACCGAATATTTACCGGAAGTGTTTATATTTCCATTTAGGTGTCACTACGGTAAATCATTGAAAAATATTGAAAAAATCACAAAATTCAAGTTTGGGATACATATCGCCATTTTCGAACGAATTAGCCCATACAATAACTATATTTCTGCATTCCCCTATACATAACCTTCATCTTGACCATACATTTAACATAGGGTTTGCGTCTCGATTTTTTAATATCACTACGCCAACATAGGGACTCATTTTTAGGTAAAATCCCTGCTTCACCGATGAAAATTAACGAATAAAGTAGTTCCAGTTTACGGCACTATATTTTGGCGATTTCTTTCTAAAATGGCACATTTAGAAAGTAATTGGCCTCAGCTTTACATACATACCTCATATGGCCACAATGCATATACTTAAGGTGCCATGGAAGTTAACAGGAAATGACAAAACAGGAATTGACAATTTTTTTTGTATTTTTAGACATTTTTTGAACAAAGATAACCGAGTTCTGTTTTGACCTCCAGTCAATTCAACTAGTTCCAAATACCATTTACAGGTCCAGGATCACAATGTTCATGGTCAGAATGACCCTAAACATGATGAAGTAACCTTTTCCGCCCTATGAAAATGTGACTGAAAAATAGCTAAAAGTAGGTGCTCAGGAAAGGTCATTGAACAGAATCTTGTGATTTTTCCAGTAGATGTGTCCAATGTATTGCTCTAATGATACAATCTTTGAAAATTTGATATCATTCATAGAAAAAGAAAAAATTGAAAAAAACTGATTTGAAAAGCAATCCATTTTCCTTTTTATGACCGCCATTTTTGTTTAAGAAAATTTTCTAAAATTTCAAAGATTGTATCAGTTAGAGCATTATATTGGGCACGTTTTCTGAAAAATTCAAAAGATTCTGTTCAGTGACCTTCCCTAGCTCCTACTTTTAGTATGAGTTACCACGGCAACCGTGGAAATGGGTAAAAATGAGAGCAAAAAACACCCAGACCCGCCATAATGGCACTTATTTTCAAAATATTTTGAGACATACAAATTTTCTTAAACTTTGATATCATCTAGAACCCTTCTAGACAACAAAAATATCAAAAATTGGGGGAAGGTTTATCACTTCAATTTTTTGCAAGCCTTGGTCAAAGTAAAGCTACGAAAAAAGCACTCATTTTCACTTTAGAATCACCTATTATCGCCCAAATGGCTATATGTTGTCCAGGTCGCCATGTTAAAAGTAGAATTAGAATGCTCTTCAGACAATGTTAGATAGCTTTCCTTTATCACGGAACAAAGATCTTTGCACTGGTATGCCCATTTCCATGAGATAATGCACGTGACCCACCATGGTTTGGGACCATTATTTTTTAAACATTGGATTGAAAATGATGTAATTTATATAAATGATATTGTTAAAGATGGAATGTTATGTTCATATAATGTCATAGTTCAAAAAGTACAGCGCAATTGACAAACCATGCTGCAGTATAATATTTTAAAAGCATGTGTTAAACAAGAGTTAATTACAAAGTATGGAGATGAAGAGAATAATAACAACTTGAGATTTGTAAATAGAGAATTATGTAAATCAGATTCAAAGTATATACGATCAGAGTTAGTCTTGGCAAGAAAATGTGATATTAAATATGATAATACATTGATAAGTAAGGATGTGTGGAACACACTTTTTAATTGTACAAAAGTTAATAAGCTCAAAATTATCCAATGGAAGATTATCCATAAAATTTATCCAAGTGGCAAATATCTAAAACAGTGTAAAATACAAGATTCGGATAAATGTAAGTATTGTGATAATGAAATTGATGATGATATGCACTATTTCATGTATTTTGTGAAGTGTAAAGAAGTTTTAAATATTTGGGACACCTGTGATTGTAATTGTATCAGTGATAAACAAAAACTTGGTATTGAAAATTTCGCACAAGAAAAATATTTTAAAAGTGTGATTATAAAAATAGCTATCCATATGTTTAAATGTGATCTGCTGAATGAGCAGGAAACTTTGAAAATGATAGATAATAGGGAAAAATCATTTTACAACATGTAACCTTTATATGTAAATGTATTAATTGTACTGTATATATGTTTTTGATTTGAAAAATAGTTTTTTAATAAAAAAATGGTGGGTTTGGGTGCTTTTTTGCTCCCATTTTTTACCCCATTTCTACGGTTGCCATGGCAACTATTAGGCTTTGGTAACCATGCCAACTTGATTTTTGAAGGACATCCACATTATAGTAGTTGGGCCAGGTTTGATGGAAAATGGGCCTGGTTTGATATGCTGGCAGTGAGGCTGATTGTGGCAAGTAGTGAAACGGCAAAACAATGGTGGAGTCTTGTACTATAATTTTAAATTAGAGCTCTCCAAGAGAAATATTATCATGTAATGCAACAGGTAACTTATGTAAACAAATTTTAAAATTTATGTAATCATTTTTGAATTATCTGAAATAAAAAAAAAAATTAAATATAAAAAAAGGAATGCAATACAAAGAGAGAATTGTATAATAATCACAAACTTTTAATAAACACATGCTGGTATAAAGTAAAAAAACAAAAACAAAAAAAAGGTGGAGTTATACCATACCGCAGTTGTGAAACAAAATGGCAAAAAGCTTTTGAACTTTTAGGATTATATCTAAAGGTGGAGTATACCATTGATAGTGCTGACTTTGTCTGTCCCTGATCAGATCTGTTGGCCAAGGGCCACAGACCGAGGGAAAATTAGTAGTAAACACAATATAAAGGATGTTCTTATACTACTTTTCCCTCGGCCTATGATTTCTTTACAGGTGTTTATCCTTAAATGTCACAGAGTATAATCATAGCCTTGGGAACCTGACTGGATTTTTTATCCATGTTCCCGGCCCTATTTATTGTATACATATACTGTAGATAAATTCACTTATATGTTCATTCTTTTTACAGAGGTAGATGATTCATTGAAGGAGTGCCCAGTATGCCTACAGAACTTCATTCATCCTGTACGACTCCCTTGTGGCCATATCTTCTGCTTCTTGTGCGTCAAAGGTGCAGCCAATCAGAGTAAGAGATGTGCATTGTGTCGGGCAGTAGTACCTCTGGAGTTCTTCAACAATCCAGACCTACTTAAAGTAGAGGACTTGATACGTGAAACAAAACACAGTAAAGGATACCAGTGGTTTTATGAAGGTCGTAATGGCTGGTGGCAGTATGATGAACGAACAAGCAAAGAACTTGAAACAAAATACTTGAACGATGAACGGCAATTTGATTTGCTCATTGCTGGATTTCTGTATGTCATAGATCTAGACAATATGGTACAAATTAGGCGAAATGATCCGTCTCGTAGAAGGCGTGTTAAAAGAGACTTGGCAAATGTGCCTAAGAAAGGTGTTGCTGGTTTAAAAGTGCGATCTCCAGATGCTCCACCAGATGTCTCTAGGGTAGTTGTTGGAGGTCAAGGTCAGCCAGATGGCACACAGGTTGCCACGACAAGCACTAATACCCCCAGTGGTACAAATGTTAGTATGAATAGAAGTACTGCCACAAACACTGACAATCAAGGGCCTAATTCACCTATTGCTGTAATAAGCCAATCAAGAAACAATACGCAACATACAAGTAGTCAAGATGGTGGACAGTATGCCGACAGCCAGCTTTTGTCACAGATGAGTTCACTTAGTGTGGATAATGATGGAGATGGAGTCAGTGTGCTTAGACATCGTCACCATGCAGCAGGTCGGGACGGGGATGAAACTGACTCATCTACTGAAGATGATTCAGAAGATACTGAATAACAGAATTATATATGTGTACATTTTAAATATTTTTATGTCACCACCAGAAGTGATGACATATTGTTATAGTCTCCAACTTTTTTGTGGTTAGCGGTTGGTTTTTGGCAGTTGGCATCTGTAACAAATGGCAAGTGGTGACATATTTTGCATGTTAATGCCTTAGTTCAGATACGTCATGGGATCTCTTTACATTTAGGAATTATATAACATGATCCTAGAGTATGGACAAGTTTAACAGATACAAATTCATAGAATTCTAAATTGGATCAAATGTGTGTTGAAATTCATGTTGCTGAAAACTGTGTGAATATGCCACTTAAAAGGCTAAACATGCTGTTAAACTAGAGTTTTATGTATCAATGAATTTTGCAATTTCTAAGATGTTCTTGATTCTTCCTAATTTATTAAAAATGTCAATTATTGAAGAAGATTTTGGGCCAAATATTTAGGTTTTAAAATGGTCATGAAAATCATTTGACTTTATTCAGACAGATGATCAAGGATATATAGTAGTCATTATGTTTTTGGATTCAAATGAACTAGTAGCCTTTCAGCATTATCATTTCATCATTTCAGTATCATATTTGTGGTACTAGTAGTGGGGAAAATCTGTGCATCCAGTTTACCCCTCAGTGTCAACGTCAACCTTAATGTCACTCACTATATTCCAAAATTGAGTGCCTGATCCTGAATATGAAATGCGCATCAATCTATTATTTGCATATACTTCATTTTGTTCAGATTTAATATTGATGAAATGGTGCCATGAAAATATCTCACGTAAAAATGTCCTTTTTTAAAGTACATCTTGTTGAAGCCTCTAGCAGTTATTGATGTCCATTTACTATATGCTTAATGGGTTGGTGTATTATGAGATTGTATCTTAGCTTTCAATGAGAACTCAGCTCAAATAACTATATATGGTTATGTTCTTGAGAATATTCCTGGAATAGTGTGAAAAATATCACAAGCTTCTCACATTATTTTTCCTGATATAACATGTACAGACATTATGTACCAGAGACAGTTTTGGTGTGATAAAATATTTCATGTGTCAGTGCAAAATGGGCTTGTTGGTTGAAAATCCAAGAGATATCTTTAATACACATCTCGGAATAATTTCATATTAGCAGTGAAAAATTCCGTTCCTCCATTAATTTGATGATTGTTGATCAGTTCAGTGTAGAAATGAATTGGGCAAACATGCGGACATAATGTATAAGCCCCTAACCAAATTTTACCTGGCCTTTTATTGGTCCACCCTGTACATTAACTGTACAAAATAATGTTAGAAGTTTTGTAAATAGTTTTCAGAATCTATGTTTGTATTGTCAATTGTTTTGTTGTTTTTGTTTTACTATCTTTTTAAAAACATAACTTAATTTCCTTGTTACATGTACAGGATGGGCTAATTTTTTATAATTGTCCATAAAAGGTCAAAATTGAGATGAAAATATTGTCATTGAAATACATGCATGACAAACATGAATGATGGACATCTCCTACCTTGTACCTAGTCACCCTACATACAAGCCGGAAAATCATACTTATCTGTATATAAACTCTATCAGCTATAGCTTGACAAAATGCTAATATATGCAGGATAATATGATCCAAAATTTATCAATCTGAAATATTTCATAGGAGACATCAGATCTGAAGTTTATGCCATGAATGAAATACATGTATACTATTCAAGAAAAACAAATACATTGTATTGATAAAACAAAACACTTTATTATTGTGTTATTTCTTCATTAAAAATGTAACAAATCAGAGCTCATACATGAGGGTTATGTAAAAATGGCAGGTTTTGGATATAGGGTTTATCCTTGGGGGAAATGCATATATCCCAGTGGACTAGGGGGACTGTGGGAGACATTATTTTTTCAAAACTAGAAACTCTACATCCAAAACCAACCAATCTAAGCTGTTATTTCCTGAAAACCTTTATGGTTTATAGCATGGGATATAGTGTTATACATGACATAGCATATCCAAACACTGTTAAAGCTAGAAAAGTTTCAATTTCACACTTTCAATTATCACATTAATTTTGCATGTACATGTACAATAATTTACACAGCTTAAATGAAAATATCTCATGAAAGTCTAAAAAGGTTAACAATGGACTGAAATACAACGTGACACTGGTTTTTGAAAAATTCAATTTCAGTTCGGTTCCAGAACAAGAAAATATTTTGCACAGCTTTAGGCCCTCAAATCGCCACAAAACAGCATTTTTCTTTCAATTTTTTGCCCCAAAAGTTCATTTTTTCACTCCTCATTGAAGAGCTTTTCGCTACAAGATAGACCCAGGCAAGTTGATCAACTTACTCTGACTCGTAGGTTTTAAAGTAATCTAATTCATGCAGTCCCTCTGATCTAAACTGTTCCGAAATTGTTCCATTCCGATCCCAAATGTTTCAAACTGAACCGTTCCGATTATTTTTGTTCCATGAGACCTCAAACATTGTTTCATGTTTCTCAATGAAACAATATTAGAGGTTTAACCACTCTGCTTTAGATAAGAATAGAACTACCCTGATATATAGTATATAGTAAATCTAACACATAGTATATCTAACCAGTGGGTGATTCCATATGATATAGTGAGGGAAAAATCAACATTATTTCACTACTTAATTGTACCACTCTGTTTTAATTGAAACACCACTCAAAAACATTTTTTCACTACTCATTTAAATTAAAAAAAAAAGAATAATCTTAATGGCACATCTTGGGATTATGCATCCTTATTTCATTGAATTTAGGTCCACCTAACTCCATCATTAATAAAATAGAACAATCCAATGAGCATTGTAAGTGAATTACTGAAAATCTCAGGCAAAACCATAATGCTGAATTGAATGTGACTATGAGAGTCTATCATCAAGCTCTCAATCCTGCCCATGCTGCACATGCTATTGTCCCCACAATCCACATACTAAGATGATCTCTACGCCCCTCACTACGCACATAAAATGGTAGAGTTATAAGTACATTGAATAAGGTAGCTGGAATAGTGTGGTACAATGGTAGCTTTGATATTGTCCCATCATCCCCAAGCTTTCCATCTTCTTTGTAGAACCTTTGGAGCAACCTGGAAAAATAGATTGTAACTCAGATTATATCTAACAATTCAACTTTATCTTGGTGATGGTAATTGGAAAGATATAATCAAAAAGTAAAATGTTTTATTTTCTAAACTTTGATCATATTCAAGAGCCTATGCGTGGATTTTGAACTAAAGAGGGCAACACAAACACAACAAAAATTAGAGCCCCTCCACATTTTGTCTTTTATAATACTTGGGACGTTTCCAGATGGCCTTGCCCTTTTTTTGTTATCATCTTGATTATCGTGAATTATCAGCAATTGAGCTAATATACGAGGGTTGTCCCAAAAGTAATGCACTATATGCTCTAACTTTATCAATAATTGATATTTTTCCATTATTATTATATATTGAGGCTGCTGAACTTTTGCACAAAAGCTAACTGTGATCTTCAAAGTATAATTTTAGTTGAACTAACTTGTCTTTTTCCTGATATCTTTCTTGTAGCCAATCTTTAATGTCCTGCTCTTCCTGAGGTATCTCTTGAATTTTGATACGCTTTATGTGGACGTGGACCTCTGGTGAGGCACCACACAGAAAGTCTAAAACAAAATATCAGCAATGACAACATACATAATAAATACAATATACAATACGACGTCACACTCGACAGGACTCCTACAGTCTCGATCGGTCTCGACAGGACTCCATCGGACTCCACTTGTCTCAGGAAGTTACATTCGGCTATCGTGAAAATAGAATTTCGGTCATCACCAGTGATTTGATGACTTATCTGTTTCTCAGGTAGGATTAGTTCATAGATCTTTGCAATCTTTACAAATATTCAGATCAAATTCTTCGTCATATTCACTTAAAAACTTTGCAATGGCCAATGACGACAAGTTGTCTACATCTCTGTGCTTTACCCACCAAAAGAAAGCAGTGCAAAATATATGAAAATGTGCTTTACCTGGCATTCCTGGAGCTTCAACACGTTTGTCTTCCTTATTGTCCCAAGTGTTGCTATAGGCTGTTGTGACATCATAGACAGCATCTACATAGTCACGTAGGGCATCAATACTAAGATACGTTGCTTTATGACGAGGTACCAGCACATAGTCGAGTGGAGGGTAACCTGCAGAAACACAACCATACAATACTTCTCAACTTTTTCAAGATCTGAGGTCATAATTCTTAATTTCAAAATACTGACTTAATTTTTCATATTTTTTTCATTTTGAACAATGTGCAAATGGATTATCAGGTGGATGCAGATCTGATTTCAAAATCTCAAATGGGTGCACAGTGTTGTTGGAGTCAATAACAAGTGTACTGTAACTTATAAAACTTATATCTAGCAAGACATTAACAGGACAAGATTTAAGATGGTCAAAAAACAATACTTCTTGGTGTTGACATAAAAAGCAATATTTCTTTCTAGGCTTTTGTCACAACCATCTACTGTAATAATAAGCTTGCTTCCCTGAAGGAATGGAACCCCCGAGAGACACACTATAAGTCCACGAGCAGTTAGTTTTGATGTGAGCTGTAAGCTGTTAGTACAGGGCATTAACATGCAAAATGTCACCGAAAAAATGCCGAACAGCAACGGCTCAATGACAAACATCAAATGTTGAATGCTGGATAAAATGAGTATGAGCATTATTGCAGACCAATCATAGTTTTCAATTCAAATGTCCAAATATTGTTGATGGACAAAGGACGAAAATAACATGGAACTGGTCCATAATCGAATCTTAACAAGAAGGTTCAAAATACTTATGATGCACTATGAATGGAAAAAGATGCTGTAAATTACTCACCCTGCATGTCAGAGAATGCCCTACTTCGGCTGATTGCCTGAGTATTTGCTGGGTTGTAGCGAGTTCCTTCAGGGAAAATTACAAGCCACATCTAAATTTAAATGCAAGAAGAATCTCATTATGAAATATAGAGCATGGAGAGCCATATATCATGTTTCATTTCCTTTAACACAAATTAGGAGCCAAAATGTATGATTATATAACCCAGCCATGACAATTAACATAATACATACTGCAGGTTATAACTTTAGCTGAAATAAACAAGGCATCAACATGCAAAATGTCACAACCTGCCATTTGTTACAGATGCCAAATGCTAGACCCCATATGCCACCCACCAAATGTTGAACACCGTCAGCAAAAAGTTGGAGACTCTAACAATATTCACCACTGTGGTGGTGATATTAACAATTCACTTTGTAAGAAATAAAACACATTTACTTATTGCAAATACCCCCATGTACAGACTATATTGATCATATGTACATATATTGGAACACTTACTTGCAATAACCCCATGTACATAATATATTGATCATATGTACATATATTGGAACACTTACTGGCAATAACCCCATGTACAGAATATATTGATCATATGTGCATATATTGGAACACTTACTGGCAATAACCCCATGTACAGAATATATTGATCATATGTACATATATTGGAACACTTACTGGCAATAACCCCATGTACAGAATATATTGATCACATGTGCATATATTGGAACACTTACTGGCAATAACCCTATGTACAGAATATATTGATCACATGTGCATATATTGGAACACTTACTGGCAATAACCCCATGTACAGAATATATTGATCACATGTATATATATTGGAACACTTACTGGCAATAACCCTATGTACAGAATATATTGATCACATGTGCATATATTGGAACACTTACTGGCAATAACCCCATGTACAGAATATATTGATCACATGTGCATATATTGGAACACTTACTGGCAATAACCCCATGTACAGAATATATTGATCACATGTGCATATATTGGAACACTTACTGGCAATAACCCCATGTACAGAATATATTGATCACATGTGCATATATTGGAACACTTACTGGCAATAACCCCATGTACAGAATATATTGATCACATGTGCATATATTGGAACACTTACTGGCAATAACCCCATGTACAGAATATATTGATCACATTTGCATATATTGGAACACTTACTGGCAATAACCCCATGTACAGAATATATTGATCATATGTACATATATTGGAACACTTACTGGCAATAACCCCATGTACAGAATATATTGATCACATGTGCATATATTGGAACACTTACTGGCAATAACCCCATGTACAGAATATATTGATCACATGTGCTTATATTGGAACATTTACTGGCAATAACCCCATGTACAGAATATATTGATCACATGTGCATATATTGGAACACTTACTGGCAATAACCCCATATACAGAATATATTCACATGTGCATATATTGGAACACTTACTGGCAATAACCCCATGTACAGAATATATTGATCATAGGTACATATATTTGAACACTTACTGGCAATAACCCTATGTACAGAATATATTGATCACATGTGCATATTATAGCGTTGCCGGATGTGATGTATCGTGGGTGATGTGTTAAATAAATGATTACTAATATAATTACTAGGGATGGGACGGTTCGTTTCGGTTCGGTTCGGTTTTTCGGATCATCAGCCGTCGGTTCGGTTTTTTCGGTTCGGTTCATTCATTTTAAGGATTTGTATTGATTGACATGATTAGCTGCTTTGTCTCTGACTTCACTGCTGACTGTCACTTTCTTTTAATACAACCAATAAAATAACTAATTTATGCTTGTAGAAACCTTTATTATTTACCAGGGACCACATGATTGATTACCGAGGGATACGAATACGCGGATACGAAACGAATCTAGTAAACGAGTGAGCTAGCAACAGACAAGACAGACAAGGTAGGGACTAGGAATATCAAAAATGTTGCTGTAAAACAGTGTTTTTAACTGTTTTATTGATACTTGACCAATGAAATATTAATCCGAAAACGATCCGAAAAGCTGATCCGAAAGTAGGGCCGTGATCCGAAAACCGATCCGAAGGCTATGAACCGCGTTTTTTCGGTATTTCGGTATTTCGGTTATCCGTCCCACCCCTAATAAGTACACTAAATGTGTAATAATTCTTTGAATAAAAGTGCAAAATTTGCCTAATTGTGTGTACTGCTCATAACAATGTGAATATGAAATCACAAATAGCAAGTAAAGCAGTTAATTGTAATAAAGGTAGCGTGTAGATTTGTTTGTATTGATATTTACATTTGTAATTATGTAAAATGTAATTAAGCCTCATAAAGAGGCATGAAGCTTTTATGTATGTTGTAACATTGTAATTGTGGGATGAAAAGAAAGTATATCTTCAGCTATTTATTGAGCTGTACGTCCATCAAATGTATCTCTTCTGTCTCACTGAGGAATCATTGAAGTGGTAATGTGAGATATACACATAGGTTATAGGTCTCGAGCATATGCAGGCATCATAAAATGCATGACGTCCATGACAGGCGCCTCGTCACAGACTGACATCAAAGTGGATTCCTGGTTAGACCCGTGCCCTCAGCTAGTCATCTCATCAATTAGCATCATCATAAAAATCCTGGTTCATCAAAGACTTGGAAATATACCTCGCATATACTGGGCCCTGGAGATGCGATATAATTATGAAACAGTGGCTTCGAGTTTCTAGAACATTACTCTGCTTAGTGATGCACTAATATAGGATGCTGGATTTTACAAAGCATCTTTGATACACTTGTTGAATAATTTGTCAAGGCCTTTAAATACGTAAGTGTTACATGGGACCTTTAAATACTGAATTGTCAAATATCCTTGTACAGGATATAAATTAGTACAGGGCCTTTAAGTGATTTGACAAATATCCTTGGACAGGATACGAATTTATACAGGGCCTTTAATTGACAAATATCCTTGGACAGGATACGAATTTATACAGGGCCTTTAATTGACAAATATCCTTGGACAGGATATTGAATATTCTTGTACAGAATATTCCCTCACACTGATTGAAATGACAATTAGGCCTATCCTTGCACAGGATAATCATATGAAATAAATTCACACGGGGTCTTTAAATATTCTTGTACAGAATATATTATGTGAAGACATCAGCATCTGGTCGTTTGGCTCAAGCATCCCCGGGTGATTTCTATCTTTCCTTTTCCATCCTTATTTCTCATAGAAAACACCAACAAAACTGAATTTAACTTTCTATATACAATTGTACATCTATTTACACTTTATATACGTTTTCCCACCCCCCTAGTACATAATTCGTGTTCAGTCGTTACATTCTAGCTCAAATTCTACGGAGCTCAAAGTTTTCCAACTTCCCGCTCGAAAAAGTGTTCTCACTCCCCTTTGTGCATTGCGCTTGTCCAAGACGCCACAAATGGCAATTGACCCACCGCGCATGCGTCCCGGAAGTTAAGAAAGTCTAAACTTCCGGTAAAAACAAACGTGAACATTTTATGTTTACACTTGAAAATGAGAAGATAGTAAGAGATTACATCAATATAAAATGATATAAGAATGCTGAAATATAATGCAAATACATGATTGAACAGTTGAAGGTAAGAAAGTATGGCACGTAAAAGATCGAGTGAAATGAATTTGTAAATTTTCTGAATCCTAAAAATGCTACAATATATTGGAACACTTACTGGCAATAATCCCATGTACAGAATATATTGATCACATGTGCATATATTGGAACACTTACTGGCAATAACCCCATGTACAGAATATATTGATCACATGTGCATATATTGGAACACTTACTGGCAATAACCCCATGTACAGAATATATTGATCACATGTGCATATATTGGAACACTTACTGGCAATAACCCCATGTACAGAATATATTGATCACATGTGCATATATTGGAACACTTACTGGCAATAACCCCATGTACAGAATATATTGATCACATTTGCATATATTGGAACACTTACTGGCAATAACCCCATGTACAGAATATATTGATCACATGTGCATATATTGGAACACTTACTGGCAATAACCCCCATGTACAGAATATATTGATCACATGTGCATATATTGGAACACTTACTGGCAATAACCCCATGTACAGAATATATTGATCACATTTGCATATATTGGAACACTTACTGGCAATAACCCCATGTACAGAATATATTGATCACATGTGCATATATTGGAACACTTACTGGCAATAACCCCCATGTACAGAATATATTGATCACATTTGCATATATTGGAACACTTACTGGCAATAACCCCATGTACAGAATATATTGATCACATTTGCATATATTGGAACACTTACTGGCAATAACCCCATGTACAGAATATATTGATCACATGTGCATATATAGGAACACTTACTGGCAATAACCCCATGTACAGAATATATTGATCACATGTGCATATATTGGAACACTTACTGGCAATAACCCCCATGTACAGAATATATTGATCACATGTGCATATATTGGAACACTTACTGGCAATAACCCCATGTACAGAATATATTGATCACATTTGCATATATTGGAACACTTACTGGCAATAACCCCATGTACAGAATATATTGATCACATGTGCATATATTGGAACACTTACTGGCAATAACCCCCATGTACAGAATATATTGATCACATGTGCATATATTGGAACACTTACTGGCAATAACCCCATGTACAGAATATATTGATCACATTTGCATATATTGGAACACTTACTGGCAATAACCCCATGTACAGAATATATTGATCACATGTGCATATATTGGAACACTTACTGGCAATAACCCCATGTACAGAATATATTGATCACATGTGCATATATTGGAACACTTACTGGCAATAACCCCATGTACAGAATATATTGATCACATTTGCATATATTGGAACACTTACTGGCAATAACCCCATGTACAGAATATATTGATCACATTTGCATATATTGGAACACTTACTGGCAATAACCCCATGTACAGAATATATTGATCACATGTGCATATATTGGAACACTTACTGGCAATAACCCCATGTACAGAATATATTGATCACATGTGCATATATTGGAACACTTACTGGCAATAACCCCCATGTACAGAATATATTGATCACATTTGCATATATTGGAACACTTACTGGCAATAACCCCATGTACAGAATATATTGATCACATGTGCATATATTGGAACACTTACTGGCAATAACCCCCATGTACAGAATATATTGATCACATGTGCATATATTGGAACACTTACTGGCAATAACCCCCATGTACAGAATATATTGATCACATTTGCATATATTGGAACACTTACTGGCAATAACCCCATGTACAGAATATATTGATCACATTTGCATATATTGGAACACTTACTGGCAATAACCCCATGTACAGAATATATTGATCACATTTGCATATATTGGAACACTTACTGGCAATAACCCCATGTACAGAATATATTGATCACATGTGCATATATTGGAACACTTACTGGCAATAACCCCCATGTACAGAATATATTGATCACATGTGCATATATTGGAACACTTACTGGCAATAACCCCCATGTACAGAATATATTGATCACATGTGCATATATTGGAACACTTACTGGCAACATGTGCATATATTGGAACACTTACTGGCACTTTGTTCTTCTTCATTGAAACAAGTTGTTTTGTCATCTTGCCTGGATTAAAGCCTCCTCCTCGCTTCACAAATACTGTGCTGTGCTGAAATAGAATGATGTTATAACAAAGACTTTCCTTTGACTTGCTATTGCTCATCATATTTACAGTTGTTCTCAATATTGATGTTTGTGATCATTATTTGGGGAGGGGGGGGTTGCAGGGTTCAGATGAACCTGTCGAAAAAAGAAAGCATTTTCACGTTTTTTTTAAAATAATTGTTCATATTGAAACTGAATGGTAAAAATGGCAATTTTTTGCAATATTTTGTTAATGATTTTCCAGTCCCAAAAAATTCTGACGTGAAATGGTGCAATATTTTTGTGACGCCAGAGAATCTTGGCTGACTGGGAAAGTGAACCCCTTGGGAAATCCTGGCTACAGGCTTCTTATTGACCTTTGACCTCAACCTTATAGACTTAAACATTGATGAATGACATCATGAATATTATACAGTAGAACCTGTCTTAGTGAACACCTGTCTGTACTGGACACTACTCCTCTACACATACCCTATACTGACTTCTGTATAAATTGCCCTCTCTGTAGTGAAAACCTACCAACACTGAAAATTTTTTCACAGCCAAAAAATTGTTCAATATACACAGGTTTTACTGTATATACATTCAAGCTTCACCTGCTGAAGTCTCCAACCATAGAAAGGGAAATATTTGAGTCCATCTTTGACAACATATCTCAATGAGCCAAGGCTTCCTTGGCGTATGGCAAGCATGTCTGCAACAATCCAGTCAACTGAAATTACAGAAATAAAGCAATAGCTATACATGACTGCCATCTTTATATGGGTCTGTAGACTGTATTCTTCATACACAAAATCAATTTCAGAGCTTTCAGTAACTCGTCCTTAACATTAGGAGGACCCGGATTTTGATGAAGGGACCCCAAAAAAATTTAATGATCCGCCCTGTGCAAAATCCTGTGTTTTCATTAACAAAAATGATAGACTCGGAAAAAGATCTTACCTTAAGTCTTTTATTTGGTCAAAATCCACTAAATAAATGAAAGATAATCTATTTCTAAAAGACATACAATATTTTCTTTAAAAGTTTCTTTCCGGAAGTTGATTTCTGATCGAAATAGTACGAGGCCTTCGATAGGACAATCATTAAGTAATCAAATTACTGGATTTGTTGCGCATGCGCAGAAACGAAACTAATAAATGGAACCTTGCGGACATTGCCCCTAGTGCAAATTGCTTCGAAATATGAAAAGAAAATGTGTATTCAATGGTTGAATATTAG